CAGGCCCTCCCCAGGCTAGGGGTGGCGCAAGGAGGAGTCATACAGGGGGCAGTCGACTGGTACCCCCTTTGTGTCCCTCCCCAGCAGTAGCCACTGGTAGCAGTGACGGAATGAACGGCTAGCTTACGTCAAGTCTCTCGTTGCTTCCAAATCTTTGGAAGGTCCTCAGTCCTTTGGCTAGAGTACTTCCATTAGTACAAAGTCGCAGAGGGGTAGCTGTGTTGGTCTGTAACTTTAAAAACAGAGTAGTCTTTTGGCAGCTTAGAGACTAACAAATATATTATATCATGAGCGCTTGTGGGTAAAACCCACTTCATCACATGGGTTTTGCCCATGAAAGCTCATGATATAATATATTTGTTAGTCTCTAAGGCTACATCGAAACTACACCCCTCTGTCGGCAGAGGGATGTAAATTAGACATTTCGAAAGTGCAAATTAAGCGGGGATTTAAATATCCCACATTTCATTTGCATAATTACATAATTGTGTCATGGCGCTGTTTCGAACAAGCGCCATTTCGAAACTGAAACCGCGGTTCGAAACAGTGGCATGACGCGATTATGCAAATGAAGCGCAGGATATTTAAATCCCCACTTCGTTTGCACTTTTGAAAGATCTAATTTACATCCCTCTGCTGACAGAGGGGTGTAGTTTAGACGTAGCCTAAGCATTTATCTTGAATACTGCATATGGATGTGGTCGCCTCTAAGGATGTTCAGGACTAGTCGACTATCCATAAGCAAAAGCTTATCGAATTCCTCCCTTGCTGCCTCTATTAGATAAAGGGGAAACTGCAAAAGGGCAGCACTGCACAGCTGACTGTGCTCAACTCTGCAGGGCTGCCCCTTAGAAACACGGCGGCTCAGCTGTGCTGCGCTGCCCTTTGAACTCCGCCTCCGTGTTTTAACGAGGCAGCCTCGCACCCGCCTCAGCTTTAGCTTTTTCTGCAAAAATGCCACAGTCTAGACCTAGCCTGAGGGGCCAGCTCATTAGTGATATCAGTTGTGCTATAGCACCAGAGGAGAGCGGTTTGGGAATTTCCATGGCTGTGGCAGGTGACCTTTGGGTGTGGTCCACATTTGAGCCTTCCCTTCCCCCTGGCTTGGTGCTCATCATCAGAATCTCCCCCATTCAAAATGGCAGTCACCACGTTTGACCTGGTATGGAGGTGTGACTCATTCAGCCAGGCCTTCAATTCAAGACCCTCCCAACATGCCCAACCATCCATGCACTCACAAAGCAGAATGCAAAACAGAGGCGCCTCCAAAGGCTCTATCACCACTCCGGAAGTCAGCAAAGCTACCTGGAAATGGTATGAGAAGTGCCCTTCCTTAGTAGAATTACCAGTACCGCCTCACAGGCAGCCTGAATTCTGGCATTTTGAGTGCTTGGCGTTGCAACCTGAAAGGTTTTTAATGTAATAATAAAAAACGTGTTTATTGAACTAGTGTTGATTTTTTAATATGTAGGATGCAAAATTGCACATGGCCAGCAGAGGGCATGGAAGGAAATGATTTCTTCAGTGCTGCCAATGTCAAATCAAGTGCACAGAAGTCGATAGACCTGCAATGTTTCCATGCGCAACACCAAATACAATTTAAAAAGCAAATGAAGAACTAATTAAGAATGGGTTTGATAGTCACCGCATTCAAAGATTACGCTGGATAACCTATTTTAATGAAAAGCTGCTTTCGAAACCCTTCTCTCTAATCCCTCTTTACTGGAGCAATGTGAAGTCAGGGTGAGGAGTAGACACATTTTTTGCTATTTTAAAGGAAACAGGACTGCACAAATATGCGATTATGTATTTGATTCTCCAGTTACTATGGTGATTGGGGCTCTTTGGATGGCCCTGAATGGCTGCAAAGATTTGAAGCCTCTGAGAGTAATTGTTATTTTAATTTCAGCCCAACATAGAAAAACAATGTAACGGTGAAAATCTGTAAACCACCTTCTTCCCCCTTGACGTGGCACTCCCCCACTGAGGGACACTGGAGGGGCAGGATGGGGAATGGATCTTATTGATGGAGAAATAGAAGACTCCAGTCTCCAGCACTGGAAGATGACAGCTTTTGCCAAAATTCGAGAGTCACATTTCCAGTGGCCTGCCACAAGCTAGTCACAGCCCTTGTATTCCCTCTGTTTCTTTCAGCCATCCTGAGGCACACTCATCATCTCATAAGACAGGAAGCAAGGCCAGATCCTGCTACTCTATGTCAGCCCACAAAGCCTTCATGTACTCCAGGAAGAAAGCATGCCCTCCAGGAGGTATTGTATAGCCCCTCCCCAGGCGACACTGCGGTAGGGTGGGGCTGCAGCAGGCTGACTCAGGAATGGACTTCAAGTGCACAGCTACACTCAAACTGCTTTCATCACAAAGCTCACCATATTTGATGGTTTTCTTGATGCCCCACTGCCTGGACTCTTGTCAGGAGGGGTGAGGCTGAGGCCCCATCTTCACTAAAAAGAAGATCAAAGCTGCAGTGATTGATCTTCCGAAGTTTGATTTAGTGGGTCTAGTTCAGAGTCACTAAATCAAACTCAGAGGGCATCCTCCGTCAGCTTCTGGTACGCCTGCTTCTGTGCGGAGTACGGCTCCTGTCAGCCTCCTGCTGTGAGGATGGTGGGGAAACTCAAATTAAGGTGCGTTGACTCCAGCTACATAAATAATGTAGCTGGAGTTGTGTATCTTGATTCCACCTTCCCTTTTAGTGTAGCCCTGGCCTGAGCTTTCATTTTTAAAAAGGTTCATTTCTAGCCACCATGTTTGCAGAGAAATGCTTGAAACTATGAGCCCCCTGCACTCAGAAAGCTCAGACGCTAGGAAACACATGGACTTTTTTTAATCTTATGATTTTAAGCCATTCTCCTGATTTGTGAAACCTGACTCATGATACCTTTGTACCCTGGGGACAGGGCTGGTAATACCACAGCCTGTGCCCAAAGCCTTAAGGATGGAATTTACAAAGAGCACCCAAAAGCTTTAGAAAAGCCCAGGGCTAACATGCTCTCTCTCTCTCTCTCTCTCACACACACACACATCATACCTAAAAGGTTCAAATGTGCATCCTGGGGGCACACCAGGCAGCAGCATGTGCAAAACCTACCCCCTTGTGCTGAGCAGTGGTTAGCTGCATATGGAATGGGCAGTGCAAACATAACTACCCATTAGTGCACACAGACAGAACACCACACATCTTGTTCCAGAAATGTACCCCCTTTTATGTACCCATTGGTGACACTTTTCAAGGTTAACCGAGGTGTCAATCACAACCACTCACAGTAGGAAGGAGCTTTCTCTGTGACCACCAAGGGAAACTCTCTAAATATTGATGTGGGCCTGGCTTGATATGATCACCAGGACATGGGTGAGGCCTCATGCCTTGGGAAACAGGATTAGAGAGGTCAGTGGATCAGCAGGCTGGAAACAACTGTGGGCAACAGTTCAAGGTTAACCGAGGTGTCAATCACAACCACTCACAGTAGGAAGGAGCTTTCTCTGTGACCACCAAGGGAAACTCTCTAAATATTGATGTGGGCCTGGCTTGATATGATCACCAGGACATGGGTGAGGCCTCATGCCTTGGGAAACAGGATTAGAGAGGTCAGTGGATCAGCAGGCTGGAAACAACTGTGGGCAACAGC